TGAAAGCAACCTAAAACGTCGAAGCCATGCTCAAGGGTGTTCAAATACTTTTGAGCACAGAATTTGCAATCTCCAAATCATCTGTAGCCTTCCCATTAGAATGTTCCAAGACTCGGTTTGAACGGGAAAGGTGTTGAATGAGTTCAAATGATCGTGATACCAATATCCAAATCAAACAAGAACAGAGAACGCAAAACCTGTCATAAAATTACAGGCGCTCGGTAACAGGAAACGTTCGTGGGCGTAAAAAGAAGCCCCTCCCCTTTCAATCTTCGAAAAACTTAATTCGAAACACATCTATGATACTCTGCTCACATTAGCGCCCTCTGACGACGAAGACTAGAGATCGTTGACGAAGTGGGCCTTTGTGATGTTAACAGTTGTTATTCTAGAAATGTCGTACCCCAGTAGATAAAAAGTAGGATTCAGAACAAAACAGCGCTTTAGCAGACAGTTATAGTCGTTATTACAGGAATAATAAGAGGTGAGGTGTACGGATAATTATTGACGTCTTGTGCTGGAAAGACTAAGAAAACGTCACGTTCTTCCTGTCTGAGCATGGTATCATCTCATATTTTCCGAGATCACATTCGCTCCTCAGATGACAATTTCCCTATGGTGTTACGAAAACACTTTAGCAGGGGATACCTGTTTCACATTTTATTTAAGAAAGCTTTCAAAGTAGCCAGTGGAAGGAGAAAATGTGAAATAGTTTTATATGAAGAAAGAAATGATTGGAGTACTACGTGCGAAACCTGTTCATGGGAAAAAAGTTTTCCGCTGCGAGCCTAAGGATATCAAATTTCCTGAACGAAAGCAATTGTTAGGCATAGATATAAACGACTTGATGAGTTATTGATAGTTACCAAGTTTATGAATTCGGACCCAGTTGGATCCCCACACAAAAATTTGTGGTTACTTAAGATAAGGAGCGAAACGAACAACAACGTATGCACCATACTGTTCTTGCCATGCTTCGGTCAAAGACTTGAAAATGAAGAGGGACTGCCTCATTCCATATTCAGTAAGACTAACAGTCAGGGGTGCTGAGTCAAGCTTCGAATATGGAGAATGAAAGTGGAGGAAAGGACTCACATTTACGTCGAATTCAGGCCCTCATTCGATCATTCTCATGTTTGCAAGAAATACAAGTTGAATATAATTAATAAAAGTGTTAGAAAAAACCGATGGTCTTACCTTTCCGAACGAAATTCGTCCGAGTAGTTTGCTAGCACACCGCAGCATCTCTCTAAACGACTATCAGGGTATTATTGGCATAACTTCACAGTAAGCTCGCTTCTTCAGCACCACAAAACGGAGCATAACTGTTCGCATTGCCCCAAAGCGATGATAGCAAGACACAAAAATAAAGACGAAAAACCGATGGACGGCAAGCAGCGCATATTAATTCCAATCACTTTGCATAAACTGGAGTGCTTTGCCTGCCTTTCAAGCACGAGGTTTCAGAGAATGGGAGCAAAAATTAGAAAAAAAGGTAGAGCATAGGTGGACACCAGCTCTACCTCATGACTTACAGCACGCTTGGCAAGGCCTAGGTAGACGGGTTACTCAAACCAATGAAATTCGGAAAAATTGTATATTTCAGCAATTTATCATTTGAAAAGAACTCTGAGCGGAAATAGCACGGTAAAACATTATCACGCTAAGTATAAACTTACAAAATTGCAAACTAGAGCAAATAATTTGCAATGTGATTGATGCAACGTACAAACATAAAGGCTATGGCAACTGACTGTGAAACTATGTGAAATAAAACACCGTCATCATCATCATCATCATAGTTAATTACTTAATTCGATAGAGAGAACGAAAAAAATGGAAGAAATGCCCGACAAAAAAAGATAACGACATGAAGCGAGCATTTTACCGTTCTATATGAAATAGGTTTCAACTCAACACGTAAAATATAACAACACGAACACAAAAGAAAATTCGCCAAATGAGTGGCTGACATAGAGAGACTAATCGTTGACAGATACGTTAGGTGCGCAGGCAGAGACAATGTTGAAAACAAAAGCACCTGTTAAGTTTGTCGTTCCTTCTGCTAACAACATTGAGCAAATAAACAAAATTCACCTTCACATTGTTGACTGCCTGCTTGCTCAGAGTTGTTTGCGGGAGAGACAATAAACTTAACAAAATAGGTGACATACGACATCACAAACACTCTATTGGACTCTAAACTAAGACTACTAATTGCTCTACTGCCCACAACATTAGGCAGTAGACATTGCTCCAAGTCAAAACCAACGGCGTGACTGTTCAATAGGATTCGATTCAAAGAGAAACAAATAGGCATAATGGACAATTACCATTCAAATCTGTAAGCACCCATAAGCGCCAGCGCCCATGCTGGTGAACATGTTAGCAGCACTACACGTGAACCACAGATGGTGTCCACAACTGCGGAATTGGTGCGGAAGACAATGTCGTTTTTGACTGTGGCCGCTAATCTGATAACGTAAACGAAATGTACTTTGAGTGATAAGCGGTTGACAATCTACAGTTTCATTTTTTCAGCTACAGCAGCGATCAGAGCAGCACCACGAGCACTTCCTTCATCTGCAGGGACCAGCTCCCACTAGAAAGAAAGTATACAATAAAAAAGTAAATCGAAATGACAATGAAGGTAGATAAACGAATTTCGTGCCTAACTCAAGGGACCGTTTGGAGAAAAGTGCGGATGGGAATAACGCACACAATCAACTGTTTCTTGAACAGTTCGAGTCTTAAACGCTGATTCCTTTTTGCCCAACGCCTCTTACTGGGTTACTAGAGGGTGTAATAGTTTTCTCAAAGCTATTCCTAACGATTGAAAACCCCTCAGTGCCTTACCATAGTCACAAAATGTGGACGCTTGATCTACAGTACTACTTATATATAGTAAGCAATTACGAGCTATCCTTGCGCATTAGTTGGGACTCATTTATGGCAACTACTTCTCTTGTCTATCCTTCCATTTTGAACAACCAGTCAAACTCCCCCTTTTCCACCCCCCACCCCCTCATCCACCTTTGAGCTTGTAAACACATGAACCCCTGTTTGAAATTTTGCCAGAGAAGCATTCGGTGACACCTATTTATAATAAAAAAAATTAAAACACTGATACCTCTGTCGTCAAAGGAGCCAAGTCACTTAGTTTTGCTTCCAGCAGCTTGTGGTATATCGGATGGAACTGAATCAAAGCCCCACCAACACCAATCTTCACTTTTGACACGTCGAGATGACGAAGTAGGGCGCTGATCGCTAGAAAAACAAAATTTTACGACCACAATTGGATATGCTAAGAAGCCGATTAACGCGCGACACAAAGATGCACAACTCCCTATCGGATTCTCCTCTGCAGCATCGGATATGACAATAAGCAGATAAACGTCCGGTACAAAGATGCACAATCTCACTATCGGATTCTCCTCTTAGAAATGTATCCATAGGAAAACATTTAAGAATTCTGGCTTAAGTCTCCGAGGCTGCATGGTACAAAAATTATGGAATGGGTTTAACAACTGATGCCTTCAGGCGATTTCAGTGGGACTACTAATTCTTCAAGGCAGAACTTATAGAATGACAAGTGGCACATGGTCACACGCATGATTCGTAGATCGAATTATGGATTATACCCGTTCAGGTCAATCAAACCCGTCATCATTTTGGGATCAGTTAACTGGCACCAGAAGAACCTTTATTACTTTTAATGTTTTTCACTCCATGTTGAAATCAGAAATGAATTAGTTTCAAAAAGGCTTCATATGAATAAAAAACTAACCTGCAGCGACGATAGCCGCACTACGGTTCGACACTGCATAGCAAACACCACGAATTATGTGATAGTCACCGGAGCCGTGCATAGGAACATCAAGCTCATCGCATATACGACGGCAAGCCTTGTAGCTGCCTTCTTCTTCACTGAAGAGAATCAAAAAACCGTTTTGAACATCCGACAAGTAAATGAAGCAGCACTCCAAGGCTTTTCTTTCTTTTTCTAGGGCCGAAGAGCTGTACTGGTTAAATCTGTTGTTCATAATTGTGAATTTTCTCAATTACAGTAATGCTCTGCTTGAGCAAAATGAAATCAAAGTGAAACATCAGAAAACGTGGTACGCCATGATTACGACAACTTACGCGAGAATTTCGCTGATATATTTTGTGGGGAATGTGTCAGGTTCGTCCAATTTCTCACAGGGATGACCATCAAATAGAACACGATCGAGCACCAGCTGAGACAGCACTCGACGTACCAGATCTCCCAAATATAAGGCTCCAGTTAATTTATCAATGCTGAAATAAGGCACACCAACAGATTCTTAGAATTCTTGAATCAACAATACATCTCTTACTAGTAAAGGGTTCTATACGGAAACAGAGAGAAGAACGAACATTTGTTTCCCTTGGTGAACTGATGCTGCATCGATCTCTTTATCAAACTGCGTGAGAACAGAATCGAGTTCGCCCTGTAATCGTTACATATTAAAGCTTCATATGTAACCCGAAAAATCTAAACCCCACGGTCTTTGGTGACAGCAGAAGAGAGGAAATTTTTAAAAAATCTCTTAAAATTTCAGTTTGCATAGCAGCGAGAGATGAATCGGAAGAGGTGAGCCGAGTGAAGGAGATGATTGATGATTTGAGTTGGAAAGGTTGGCAACTGCGTGGTCCGAACAATTATGAGTGATGCAGAATGTCAGAGCATACAACACCGAGCCTGATAAAAAATCGACCCCCTAAGGACAAAAAATCATAGCTCTTCAGAACATTTCATTTCTTTCAATCTGTACGGGACCGCTTATATTACACTACCCACTTCAACAACGTGCAGATACCTCTTGACATCCACTCTCTGAAGTTTTTTGTATGCGTGCAACATTCCTAGCTTTGCTGCTGGTACGTTAGGTGTTCAAAGCGTTATTACGGAACACCCTAGCTGTGATGATGAAGCATTGTAGTTCAAAGAACGATGTAGGAGCTCTCTTTTTTACGTAAGAACAGACGAAAATTGACTTAGGTACTGTAGAATCTATTTCAGATATGGTAAGGATATCATGATAGCTGAGGGAAAGATCACCCAGTATCAAAACGAATTGCATAGAGCATGGAACACTGAGTCAAGAGATTCCCTGAGAATTGGAGATGTGGCGCACTTTAGCCTCCTACTCATTTTGAGCAGCGTTGCAAAAACCTTCCGAATTCATGGTCATGGCGTGCACCTCTTTGTAGCTGATCACCGCTCCCAAAATAGGTTTTGAGCCTGGAGAAAAATAACAATCCCATGACTACATTATTGCTGATGAAATTTGTAAATTCTGCACTGACAAATCGTCCCTTGCCATGAAATCATTCAGCAACAGCGAGAAGAGCTCTGCCACGTGGTCGACTCCAAAAAAGTGAGGTTACACTGCGAAATTGCCTGACGTACTTGCACGTCAGAGGTGTAAAAATCAATAGCTGCAGACAAAATCTCGTTCATTGTTCACTTTCGGCCTGTCAACTAGCTGCCGTTAATATTAGAATGGATCATGAAGTAAAGTCACATGGTAACAACAGCAGACAATGGACAACAAAGCCACCTAATCAGGCGTCGGGCAAAAATTCTTTTCAAGAGTCCCAAACAAGAGACAAGCACAAAAACTAAGAGAATATTCAAAAGAATCTAATGCTCAGAAATAAACATGTAATAAAATAAACAACATAAACAGTATAGACATGAAAGCTAGGCGCAGAAGACACCAGTTGGTGAAAAAGGTAACCGATATTTGAGGACTGTCGCATTTCAGCTGAAGAAGAAATCATATACTAATAATAAGGTTCATACAACATCGGCTGTTTGACAGCTATTTGCTGGGAACATTTTTATTCAATGGGCAATCTTTTGCTTAAATGGGGGAACTATATTTGGCGAGACTCGTCATTCTAGCGACAACACGTCGCTCTGTTTGATGTAACTCGATCTTTTTGAACGAAAAACATCGTGACATTACTCTAAAGACGGAACGACTGGACAAAGATACCCCGAAGGCTCAGAATTCCAGAATTCTCTCCAACTGCCAGGTACACCTCACCCAATTCACACAAATCGTGTAGCTATTGTCAGACGAAGATGCCAAGAGATGTTCTGGCCACAAACATCGCATCCCAGCATACAATTTCATGGCAGGTATTCAAGAACACGGCGGAGGACGGAAAGGCCAATCACCAGCTGCAGTAATGGATGGGAGGACCGTATCAGAGATAGCCCCCAACTCATCCATTACCATTGTCGACTTCTTATGACTTCATTTGGTCCACTTCGATCACTGTCATGGACCGAGCTGTAGGAATGCGCCGTTCGTTTCTGACTCTCAATAATCTAATATTTTCCAAGTCGTCTTGATCGGGGAACGACGTTCACTTCCTGATTGAGAAGGCTTGCCTTATCCAAATAAATAAAAAATCGTCTCTTGTCCCTTGCTATAATTAAAAACAACCATTAACTCAAAGGACACGTTCAAGGTACATCGAATAGGTGGACAACGCTGTAAACAAGGACACCACGCAGACGATCTGATACGGCGGTAGTTGACTACTGGGACAGGGCCCTCTCAAAAATCAGGCAGTATAGAACGGCTTACTTACATACATGAATAAAAATGACTGTGTGCAAATATTCGTTGATGTATTATGAGCATAAAAAAATTCTCGCTTAAACATAGAAGCAGAACTATTTCAAAATTAATGTTGCAATAATTAGTAAGTTTCGTAGGTAAAGAAAGTCACATTTCACCGCAAAACCAAAATTGACCTACTGAACCTCGACTAAGAAAACCTATTAAAATTGAGGGTTTTTTTTTTACGAGGGCTGTCGTATTATGATGTCTATTTTGAGAATGCAAAAAAAAAATTGAAAAAAATGCAATTTTCGAAGGAAAACGAAAAAAATCGTGCTTGAAGAATTTGCAAACACACACCTTAGAACCAAATTCTTCCCATTCTGTGACCACAACCATATTAGGATGTTTGTAGCCAACAGCTTTGGCGTCGAATTTCGTGATGCGAGATGTCTTTTCCAAATAAGAAGAATTGCACCTTCAAAGAAACATTCTTCAGGCGAAATACGGCACGACTTACATAACTCGACTTAGTATGAGCAGTATTCTAATAAACATACCCATAACCTATAACGACACCAATTGTGCACTCGGGGCCATATTTGTGACCAGCTGCCGCAAGCTGTCCCACTGTATCATTCATAACTGCTTTGATTTGTGCTTTTGTAGACTGCAAGAACAAAAAGCTCAGTTCTTTGAACACGAAAAAAAGGTGAGAGATTGAAAATCACATAAAAAACAATGAGAAGAAGACTTATGATCATATATTGATTTGCTGCCAGCGAGTAATTGCTTATGAGTAAACTTCAAAGTTTCATGTAACGTTCAAGCCAATGATGAAAAGTTATATTATATAAGACACTTTGAAACGAAGGATAGCCCAATGGGAATAGGAAAACAGGATACAAAAAACTCAAAAAAGAGGATGAGCTGAGACAATCAAAAGCCTCGAGAGGGAATGCTTCGAGGGGTCGGATGCAAAACTGAGGAGCAGTTCCTGAACACTTACCATGTTCATTTCCAAAGCCTCTTCTAGGAGTTGGACAACATCCTTCCGCAGGCAATCCTTGATGTCAAATCCTTTTGTCCACCATAATAGTCGTGCGGAGCGAATAGACAGCAGCTCACAAGGATAGGAAAATACGAAACCTGAAACACAACCTCTTGGAAGCACACTACCAGCCAATAATTATTAACATCAATCAAAGCACATAACACAACTAACCAATGGGTAAGTTTGCTTCGACTAGACCGAATTCTTGCAGGAAACGTTGCAGACAATTGACAATGAAGGTGAACAGCTGCAATATAGTCGTTTATCTAATAAAAGTTAAAGTTTAAAGTTTTTGGCGTTAATCAATCCCGTCTGAGGGATCCGCCCCCGCACTCGACTTCCATTCAGAATCGTAGTGGCGTAATGAGTGCGTATGTGGCCTATACAATGACTTGCGGTGGCCGGCCGATGTACAAGTCTGTGCATTTATCCTNCCAGACGAGTCTGGTACCAATTCACCGACCCCGGAGGGATGAAGGGCTTGGTTGGCCTAGGCAGGCATCGATCCGGGATTCGATCCCCTGACCGCGCGTGTGATATAGTGCGCCACTTGCCACTACACCACATCCAAATCGTTTATCGAATAACGTAATCTTATTTGGATGCTTCGCGACGACCTAAGCGTAAGGCCAAACCTGAGGACGGGACACACCGGTTCATGCGTCACTACTGAACAATATCACGAAATTCGTCAGGTTTAGCGCTCTAAGCGCTCCGATTGTTAGTTTGATTTACTGGAGGGTTCATTTATTACTGGTGATCTGATATACCCTTATTTTCGATAAAATGACTTATTATTCATACGATGGAAACCTGATTGATCGAATCCAATCAACAATATACTGAGCAACGAGTATAATAGAAAACGGTAAAGGGAAGCAAGAAAAGCAGACATGTTGCCCAAATCTTGGAATGGAACTGCAAATTTTACATGGCTCAACAGCGCCGCATGCTGCTTCGCATACACGCTAGACACGACCAATAATGTCTCAAGCCATTGGAACCGTTTAAAAATTTTAGAAGGTCGGGTAGTAATTTCCTGTCATGGAGCGATATCTGAACTTAAGGTGAAAACGTTCCAGCATTTCTTGCATTTTGGGAACTGCCAAGAACAAATAGCAAATGGGTAGGCTCGGAAGCGGTTGCATTATTTCAGAGAATTTGGGTTATGAAGTTAATCAAGCACACTCACTTGGTCACCTGTGCCTTTCATCACATGGTTCGGGACTATATAATTGTTATTGACAGCAGCAGGCTCGCGTCCAGTACCTTTGAGCGTGAGTAGCATTATACGTAGATTTTTGCCAGAAAGATCGATTGCCACATACTGCCCTTCTTCTGAAATAGGGAAATGGTCCGTCAATGGATATCCAAGACCTCTCAACACTAGAAGTGACAAATTCAGTCTCAATCACAAAAACAAAAAGTAGAGCTAAAAGAAAATTCTGATTGGTGGGTGAATGGAATATCATTTCGTACCCATGACTTGAGCTTATTTCCTTTCACTACCATTTCTGAGATTCGATTGATGCGAAAAACCTTAGGCATCCAGCACTAACAAGGGGTCCAATGATATGCTTTTACAAAACATCTACCATATCAATATGAAAAATCGAAGGTCTGGAAATACAAAACACCTTACCTGATCCATCGGGAAGGGCAGGTACGTAGGAGGGCAACATGGCTATAGAAGACCCGTCCACTGTGGCAAGCCCAGCTTTCATTTCTGCTTCTATCTTACAGCTAATTGTATGCAATTCTTCATCGCTAATAACAAACTTTTTCAGAATCTAAAAAGAAGTTGTTCTGAACAAAACTCCTCGAATTTTAAGCAGAAGTGTACCTCTTGAACTTCTTCAGACTCCAACCTCATTCCCATATCTCTGCGAGTAATTTGGACAAAACTAGTTACGAAATGTAACTAGCACAATGAGAGCGCACTATAAAACCGTAGTTATCATGTGCATTCTGGAGAACATGCTAGAGAGATATTCCCTACACGGGAAACGAAAGAATTGAAAGCATGACAAATAGGAGGTATGTCATTATGAGCTCTTAAGAATAACATCCACAAGTTGATCAGCCTAACAAATAGTTTAGTTAGACCCTGGTTTAGAGCTACACATCATTTCAACTTCCCCTTCAAATAGATTTGAGATCTCGACATTGTGGAAGTCAAGTCTGGTCCTGCACAAATAAAGATTCAGGCGTAAATTTCAAACAGAACAGCATCATCGAACGTCATTTAAGGCAGAATTCCATCATCAAACGGCATGGAGAAGAGAATTCTGCTTAACCGCTAGTGCTTAAGTAGATCTGAACTTCTATATTTATACATTATTGCCCACAGCATCCCGAAATACTTTATCCACGCCTCGCTTACTTGCATTAAGCCTGACTGCAACAATAGCGGAGAAACATCAAGAGTTAAACGGAGTGAGTCGTGAAAGAGAAGCTTAAAGGATTAGGATAGGATGCGTGCTGATCCGGTAAGAGTGAAAAAGCAAACCTGCAGGGCTTTGTAGCTCAAAAGCTGGGGGTAAAATCGATTTTTGATTTTTCTGTAGTAATCGAGAACATTTATTGAAGCCGCCTTAGATTAAATTGTCGTCGAACTGCTCGCAAAAAAAGTTAAAACAAAATCATAGAAATTGTATTGAACTCCTTGAGAAACTTTTCGACGGTCAATTTGCATGAACTGCTTCAATGGGATTGAAAAAAAAGTCCAAGGTGGATCCTTTTCCAAGTGTATACGCGGTTCAAATGCATACCACAAGAAAACCATTGTAAGCTAACAGGACGAAATTAGCTCTCCAAAAGACCTCAGAAATTGCACGCGTACGAGTTGCTGAAGGAAGGTACCTCAATTTGAGCAGCTGTATGAGGGTCGCCATGTCTTCGTCAGTTGGACTAGATCGAGCTAGAGGACTGCCCCTTGTCATGATACACATTTCCACAAATCACAGAACGATCAGAAATCATACGCGATTCATTTTCGGCACCAGCACCCATGACGACAGAAATGATACATTTTCTACAGGACTGATGCATGAGCAGAAATGGCGTAGGGGCAAGTGGAACACAAGCGAGTAGCGAGTATGCATAGTCCGGGATCAAATTGTGGATCGATATCCGCCCAAGCCAACCAAACCATCTATCCCTGCGGGTCCTGACTCATCTGAGAAGAAAACACTGACTTGTAAATCGGCTAGCCATTGCAATTCATTGTTTAGGCCGCATACCCATGCAATACACGATAATCTGAATGGAAGTTCGATGTAGACGCGCATTCCAATAACGCAATTGTTTGAATTTAACGGGAAGAACATTGTAAGCTTCATCCTTTACCATCTAAGATCGATGTAGCTCAATGAAGAACCGAAAAAAAANNAAAAAAAAACTGAGAAAAGGGGAGAAGATTCCAGGAACTGGAAGTAACGGAAATACCTTCTACTTGACGGTGGGAGTCTAGCATCGATTAAACGTAGGTAGTCACTAAATCTAGGAAGAAGACGCAGACCATCTCAAGGCAAACGGCAAATGATCCATAAATCATTATTTTCATTTGTCGATACCAACGCATCCAGTGAATTACTGAATAGAACTGCAGAAGTACTAGAAAAAAAAGTAATATCACCATCGATGCACCTTTTCGATAACACGATTACTGTTGCCTCAATAGGTTAACACGATGTAAGCAGGATTAGTATGTAGTCAGCACCTTTCAATAAGCTATCCAAGGAAAACATGCAGACGTGTTAAAGCAGAAGAAGTGACATTCAGACATCGCCACTACTTATTTCCAATGGAGGCGAAAGTCTTGATAGTAAAACGCTGGTAGAATAGATGAGCTGATGCTGGAACACATCCCGTCAAACCTGGACTCATTAGTTTGAAAGCTGAACTAAGACCATAAGTACCAAATTCCAAAAGAAACCACTGAGAAATCGAAGATTAGGTGAACCGGGCACATGGTGCGATTCCGTGATGACTAATGGTTCGCAGTCGCTACTGACGAGATAGTCAAGAAGTCAAGCGAACAGGAGTGCGAACGTCAGGGCTGTAGCCAGGGTTTTTCGTGAAAATTCTGAACGATTGGTGCTTAAGACATGCTTCTCCCCACTCAATGAGCCTCTAGAATATGCAGGAGACTTCTCTTACTTGTTACCTGTTGAAAGATTTTGTAAACAACTGGAAAATAGGGTTGTTAATAGAAATGGAAATAACGGCTAGAGGGAGCGGTGGAAGGAAATGTCCTAAGCATGAAATCAATTCCAGAACTAGACGATGCTTATCGCCCGTTAAGAAGAAAGCTCATTAATAAGCTTCACCAGCTATAAAGCAGAAAGTATCCTTCTGAGACACCTACCTCCAAGTTCAGCACACTTATTCCGAAGTTTTCTAGTGATCTACGCTCTTAGGAAAAGCTCATTCAGAAGAGTTTCAATAAAGGAAAGAAATTGGATCGATGACAAACCATACTGATACGTTTACGTGCCTTTAGAAAACTACCAGATGGATCAAAAAATCGCAACATTCCTGAAAAGAGTCGACGGCAGCGGTCACCAAAATGGATTAATAATGTGAAACCAATTCGAAATTCAATTCCAAGTGTTTGTAGAAGGTCAAGCGCACTGTTGAAATGAGGAGTAAGCCTACGAACAACCATCAAAGCCGTATGAAAGTTCCGTTTACCCAGCAAAAATGCGGCTTACTGCGCCCAGACTTCTGTTTCGAATTTTGCTGATGAAATGCCAGAGTATAGCTTAGGTGCTCGACTTAACGCCTGCTAAAAAATATACTTCGATAGTTTTCTTCGAGTGATGTAGGTGACGTGAATGTATGACACATTCACAAAAAAAGCATTGGTCTCGCATTCACCTCATGAACAACTTGAAGAACCGCAAAGCAGTACTCCCAAAGCTGCCACAGGCCCTGTAATCAATTTACTCCCCACTCAATTCGCCACCGGTTAGACTCGTCCTCCGCAATACTTATCCATCCCGCTCACCACTGCTCTCAGTATTCTGAATAATAACACGAGTTCATCGAAAAATAGCACCTTGAAACGTAGCAGATGTCCATAAAACAGTACTTTTGAAGACATGACAAAATAAAGCGCTGTTACAACTAATGTATAAGTGCAGAATGTAAACAAGTGCATTCTGAGAGCAATCATGGAAGGTAAACCTCAAAGCATGTATTAAGGAAAAACGGCGATGACAACAAAGTTCTTTCAGGTTACGTGAACGATGGGATAAACACATCACACTGATAATATCAAATCAAAAGAAATGCCCACAATTATGATGAAAGGACCACGATATTCTGGCTTAGGGGAACGTTGCTAGCTCAGCACCGAAAACTCACAACAAAAGAGAACCGGACAGATGGGCTTAAGCACATACACAAAGTAACTAGAATTCAGAGGAAACTGATACGTTACAAAGATTGAATAAACAAGCCACACATTTAATCCCGAGCTGATAACCAAGGACGAATTACGTAAAGGACGATTGGATCTGCGTCCCGACACGAACACTTGCACCGATACCGAATGCTAGCTGCTGGGCGGAGCTTAGAACTGAAGGCGCATGCTTGATCTCGTCCAATCGGTTTTTCCGTTTATCTTTTCCGATAAATGTGATTTGCATGAAGTGGTTTGAGAAGACTACCTTAATTTTGTTTCGTTCGCAAGTGATCCCCGGATCCCTCAGATCCTGCTCTCGAAACCTTTTCAAATAAAGGAGGTTTATTTGATTGCTGAACAAATCTGTTTTGGTTGCAGCCAAGCTACGACTTTTCTCGATCTGAGTGTTTCTAACAATCTTTATTCTCGTACCAAAGTTTTGTGCATCGCTCTATTTTGAAGCAGTAAATTTTAAAAAGCACAGTTTGCATTTGAAGTTTTTGATCTCTTTAAGGATGACTTGAGGCCCTTTTTTCGACGAATATCATGGATCTAAGTCGGAAAAAGAAAACTGGTGGTGCATCATCATCTAAAACATCAACAGGAGGACCGAAGCAGGTAAACGATTAGTCGGAATCTATTCAATAACTAATAAAGAGTTTGTGGGCAGCAGGTATTACGCCAAGAATGTTTCCGTGCTTCTTTCCAAGAGCAAAAACTTGATCTTAAGATCGGCGTTGCCATCAACTTCTAATATTAGATAGCTACTGTCAGCCGCAGTCAATGTTGAAAGATTTACAACCACGGTTTATATAAAAAAAATAGCCTAACGTATATCAAAAGAATCCTACCTTTTTTTAAGAACGGGTAGTTGGGTAGTTTGAGGCGCAGTGGATGTACAAATCAGTTCAAGAGGAAATCATATTACTGGAATGAGATGGAAAGTTTTGCTAGCAGAATCAAGAGAGCTCTGTAGGGAAGTAGCTCGGAAATTTTATTATGGGACCTCCAAGACAAGGTGGATGAGTTCGATTTCATTGCACTTTTACTCGAAAGTAGTACTTAGTTTTTGATGTTGCACGCTATACGATTATTTAATCAACGGCAAAACTTAGCTGCGCTTTTAATAAAGTGGAATGTTTCAGCAACATAAGAAGGTAAAAGCCGGAGCTACAGGTCAGAATGTTTCGCCTCCTTCTTCAGTAGACACCCATGACGACTGTGGGCAATCGACATCTTCAAGTCATTTAATTCAGCCGTTTCAGAAGTGAGCTAATTGCACTTTTTTCGAAGTAAATTTTTATTACTATATTCATGGTTCTTTTCAAGGCACCTTAATCTTGGTGGTGATGTTGAAGAAGAGAATGAAAGCCCAAGTACTTTGATAGATCCTCCGGCTAATCTAGAAGTGCCGACGGGATCTGAACTTGTTGGTAAGTGGGGATATTGGTTCTCGAGCATCCTTACCATTCTTTGTTCTGCATTTTTGATCGCGGTGATCATCTAGTGAACCCTGAATGATATTTTCGTCCACAACCTTGAAGCGCACCTTACTACCACTTCTCATGATGAAGGCTTTGACCCTACAATGAACACCCTAGATTCAAGTCGTCAGAATCTGAACTTTGTCACAACATTCGCTTCTTTGAATGGGAAATTGCTGAGGGGTTTCTTTCGTAAATTGTTGGGTTTGTTTGACAGTTTAATGCTATTTCATGTAGCCAATTTCTGCCAATGTGTAATTTCAAGTAAAATCAATAAAGCCAAAAAAGCAATTTTCCGATAGAATTCGATGTTACGCATAGTTCTATGTCTCACAAAACACTAACGTTCTGAAGCTGTGGATCAGTCATTGATGATACTTTCACCCCTCACCTTCACTTACGCTGATTTGTAAAACGAATTGCTGTAGCCGCGTGTGTCTTTACGCAAAAAAAAACGCATTTTATGAAAATATTCATGAAAATTGCAAAAACATTTGTAAATAATATGTCGTGTTGCATTTTTGTCTCTAAAAGTAGGATCGCTTTCAGTCCACGAGAAAACAGAAGACTTCCCGCAAGAAAACAATGGTGGAGAACACGATAGGATGGGAGATGACGGCTATCCTCTGGTTGTTGATCTTGGAACAAGGTAAAAGTTTACAAGAGTTTTCGATTCGCAATGAAGATTTTGCGGTTGAATCATTCTTATTTTAACGTTCAGCGAGCGCCAATCTCGATTGGCTCGTCAACGGCTTATTGATGAAGTTATTCAGGATCAGGCATTTGATCAGGTGAGGAGGCTCTTACATTTCTGGAAATTCAGAGNAAAAGTTCAATATTGTATGACAACAAGATTTAGGATGTAATTGAAGAGTTAGAGCGTGCAAATATGAGGCGCGTCTTCGAAGAAATTGAAGAGGGTGAAGATGCTGAGCACGCAGCAATGAGAAGGCGGGCTACCGCAAATGGAATCGTGTATGTTTATGTAGCTCCATATCCATACGTTTTATTTTACACATTAAAAATCGCGTGAAACCCCAAGTAAAGCCTGTGCAGAAGATCCCTCCACATCTCCCTTTTACTTGCAAATTCTTTTTGAGTTGCGCCACTTTATGTAGGCTTGTAAGAAAAATTCTGCAGAATCGCCAAATTGCAGTACCACTCCTTTTCAAAGTTTAAACATGGATGAAGTTACCCGATGGGTTTGATTTATCTACAAAAGTTCACCTATTATCGCATCGAGACCCAGAATAATTAACAAGCTAATGTCAGCTGTGTTTATCTTGGAGCAAGGATAAGCGAAAGCTAAACACCCTTGAAATTTTTGGTGGTGTTTCTACCTTTGCTTATTTACTATCGTATTTTGCTCCATTTTCTCAGATGTAACGCTCAGTTTATTTAATCAAATCATCAAGATAGTCCGACTTTTCCGATCACCATTCTAAGTTCACGAATTCCTATCGACGCATACAACTACTCTCAAACGAGCGCCCAGTCTGTCAGGCAAAAAAGCCCAATATAGCCTGAGCGCCCGTTCGAATTGTGTAGTTGTATGCGTCAATAGGATACGAACGTTTTTTACCCAAAGTAGAATGGGCGCTGGTTTGGTAAATGTGGTTGCGTGCGTCGATCGTTCTGTAGGAGGTGTTTATAATTGGCAAGTCTCCTTGAATATACTTTTTCTTGTGCTCAATATATTCTCCTTATCTAACACCACACTAAGGAGTTAGTTAACTATGACTATACTTTATGTTTTGAACGGTTTCATCGATTTTACCACTATCAGGCGGTTTTCGAATGACTGTGATTCACCCTCAGTTCAAAACTCCCCATCACTTCATAGAAATGGATGTAGTTAGGTCCTGATCCAGCTGTTTCCAATCTCAACTTCCATTAACATCTTGAGTCAAACTTCTTTGAGACCACGATGTGCCTTTGCTGTGACTTATGCCTTCATTTCTTTCGAAACATCAAGCTGGCGTAAGCGCCAAGTATTTGATTTTCAATAGTCTTCATTTGCATGCCATTAGGATACCCATTTGAGTTGTTCTTAAAGTCTTTGATAACTTCCAAAAATGATGACTTTTTCTATGAAGAAATTACTGTGAATTTATTGGTTTTGTGATGCTCCAAATGCCGATCAAGCAGTAGTGATGGATTTGAAATTTTCAGGAGTGGTGAAGATTCCTTGACACCTCGTGTTGAGGCCGCCATCGCAAACTACATGGTACGAAAATATGCAGGTTTGTTATTTTGCTTTGTTGTTGTTGAATTTGAAGTTTCGGATAATTTTTGAACTTTTTTTATTATACCTTCAACTGATGCATAACATTCTTCAGACTCGGCCAATAATGCCAATGCTGCAGTAGGCATAGCGGAGCCTGAGGAACCTGGACCTTCATCGTCGGGATTGTCGAGTAGACCTGTTAATATTGTTCCAGGTATTCTATTAAACTGATTATCTTATGATCAGTTTAGCAGGGCCTTCATTTGTCATAGATTTCCAGTATTTGATGTTTTCAGTCAGTCATAATCTTCTTGAACATCCTGCCAACAACATAATCTCAGTTGGCAGACGTTCAAGTCCAGTACCGGAGCCTAGGAGCTCCAGAAATTTAGGAGGTAAAATTTTGGTCCTTTTGCTTATTTTATTCCTTCTTGAATGAGGTGAGGGGAGTTTTAGGAATGTCACGTCGTGCTGCAAACGCTGTGGATGATAATCCGCTCGGATGGCAAGGTGCAAAAACTACACTCAAGGAAAGGATAAGCTATATGTACTGCAAGGATGTTCTCGCTGATGTCTACTTCACAGTTGGAAAAGATGATATGAGACAGGTATCGTTTAAAACGGGTTTTGGTTAGCTGATGGCTGTCGAAAACCTATTTATAGCATTATTGTGTTCGGAGATTGACATTGTTATACAAGATTGCAGCGAATCCCTGCTCACAAATTCGTTTTGTCAATCGGCTCTGTTGTTTTCGATGCAATGTTCAATGGTGGTCTGACTCCCCAAAACTCCAGAGGTTGTTGACGTTTCATTCTACGTTACATTTAAAATCTTGTCTCCTATTTTGAGTAGTGACACGAATGTTAAAGGAAATTTCATTTGCCTCTTGGTGGTTTTTTAATTTTGAGGTTGAGCATTGTTTTACAGACCCGCTGGAGATTGAACTGCCCGATGTTGAAGTTCCGGCATTTCGTGCCCTTTTACGATTTCTTTATTCTGATGAGGTTGAAATCGGACCTGAAAGTGTGATGACCACATTGTATACAGGTTTATCTTCGTAGTTATCATGCTTCACAGATAAGTTTCGGGATGATCTAAATGTTTAGCAAAGAAATACGCTGTACCAGCAATGGAATCTGCATGCGTTGAATTCCTAAAGCAGAGCCTAGGAGCTGATAATGCGTTCATGCTTCTTACGCAGGTTTGAACCTAGAAATGTCCAGGAGAATCATTCGTGAATTTGAACACTGTGTTGCAGGCTCGACTATTCGACGAACCACAGTTAGCAAAGTTGTGTCTGGAAATTATCGATAAAAACACGGCGGAGGCACTGAACGGCGAAGGTAGTTGATGTCTCAAGCAGCTCTCAAGACTAGCGTCGATCAATAGCATTTCAGGATTCACTGACATCGATTTGGAGGCCCTATGCCTCGTTCTTGCCAGAGACACTCTGCGAGTCAAGGAAGCGCAATTGTTCCAGGTATAGGGAGTGAACCCAATTCAGCACAATGATCCTCAAAAGGTTTCTTTGTAAACTTTACGATCCTAGGCAGTTGTTCGCTGGTCAACGGAAGAATGTGCCCGTCGGGGCCTAGAACCAACTACAGAAAATCGAAGAGCAGTGTTAGGGCGTGCTGTTCAACTAATTCGTTTTCCTTTGATGACAGTAGAAGAATTTGCGCAATCTGCTGGTGAGTATTTTTTATTTATAAAGATTACAAGGGAATTTTTTTGGCATTTCTGATGCCAGTTCTATCTATTATCGAGTTAGAACGTATTTCCTTTAGATACGGATGTTACTTGTTAAACCATCAGTAACAAGCCCATTGCGACCTATGTTGTGCGGGACATTACCTAGTCGAACCAGTCAAATTGGTGTTAGTAGAAGCTTCCTAATGGCTGAGTTTTGAAATGCACGCGTGGAAGATCCTCTTTTTCGATGGCATTCCGTAAATTGCGCGAAATGACTTTTTCTACTGTATCATTCCCTTGCCCTACTATCAGAGATGGCTTAGAAAGAGTCTGGAAAAACCGAATAAAATAAATAAATACGGTATAATAGGCAGAACACAACCGCGTTCTGCACTCAAGAACTTTATCTTTTGATTTGGAGATATTTGAATTTCAGCTCAATCGGGGCTTCTAACTGATCGAGAAGTTGTTAATTTGTTCCTCTATTTTACCGTCAATCCTAAACCGTCCATAGGATTCAACGACAAGTGAGTTTTGTTTCTAAGCATAAAAGCATGCAAGTAATGTTATGGTTTGAGATATGTTTGATTAGCTCTTTCAATTAGTTTTGTTAATTGTTGACTTTCTTGTTCTAAAATTGCTTTTGAAAAAATCTTTTTCACGACGAATACCCGTCTTTATGCTCGTAATGCTTTTGTAGCACATCAAATTGCTCAACTAGAAACCACCAATGTTTCTCATCAGATCTTTGTAAACGAAAGGAAATAGAAATATATAACTCGATCAGAATTAAAGCAAAGTTCTCGTATTGGTGCTGGAGTTGTCCTTTTATCTGTTACATGAAAATCCATCGTCGACTGTTCAAATCGCCCACAATGCTGCGGCGTAATCATTTAATAGGATCCCAATACGAGGATGCTAATTCAAATCGTTCCCATAGCTTTCCTTGGAGCATCTTCAGGAGCCTTGAATCTCGATCGTGGTTTTTCCCTTGAAGGCTTGGAGTAACGCGACTTCTGCTTGAAAGCGGTGCAAAACTGTACCTAATTCGCCTGTAGACTCTATTAAATAGCTCTCATAAGATGATATCTGGGCTGACAGATGAAGGCAAAAGCTTCTCAGAACTAATAAATTTTATACCCAAATTACTAGTGACTAATTTTGCGAAACTGATGTTACGGCAAAGAAAGTTCAGCCTATGCTCCGAATGGGAAAAAAAGGAAGCCGAATTCGAAGAAAAATGTCAGTAGAGCACGCGAATTGTAGTACTCACTGAAGTAGCCTTGATTTATACTAGTTCCGATGCATCATATTCGGTAGTAGGTGGCAGATATATCGATGATTTCTGACCCCACTCAAAGGACGATCATTAGGACACAAGCAGGTAAGTCTTACTGAATACAAGGTGAAGCTCAGCTTTATCCAGACCACAAATCTGGATCAAACTGAGCTTCATCCCACGGAAGGCCTGTAAGCATTACTCCTGGAATGAACAACATCCTTGCGGCACTGCAAGAATTTGATCTGTAACATCTTTCTCAGTCTCAAAATCTTTCTCTCTACCATCATCTAACATTACACTAAAGCGATACGTTTGATCCTCATTAACGACATTGCCTTTTTCCTACATATGTTGAATAATATGCCGTAATCTTTTTTAACTGGTCCTCGGTTCTTCGACGACTGTTTCGGCGCTGTTCATCTTGATCGTTTATTGAGTATTAAACCATAGACTTCTTTCAGCATTCCCTTTTGAGTTGTGAAATACCGAGTAGCGGTATTTCACAAATCAGACGGGAATGCTTCAAATCAAATATAACAGCGATTATAGTGTTACTTTTTACTTCGAATGTTCACTGTTGTATTTGATTTTACTTTTATACTTTTAGTCCACGATGTTCCGGTGCTGGTAAGGAATTGGTAGTTAGCCGTTTCCAACGAATCGAAGGTCGATGGGGATACAGCGGTACACCGGACAGAATCAAGTTGGCAACTCTTGGAATTTATAGCTAACACCGGCTTTACAACTCATCACTATGCTGTTTCTTCAGGTTCACTGTTGATAGAAAAATCTTCGTTGTTGGCTTTGGTCTCTATGGCGCTATACATGGTCCTCATGAATATCAGTGTGTTATCCAGGTACCTTCTTCAGCGGTTTTGATAATTTCATTCAATCTTTTACGATTTACTGAAGTTCTTCATTCAGATTATTCATTGTGGTACCGGGAAAGTGTTGGCACAAAACGATACATCGTTCGTATGCGATGGCTCATCATCGACATGTCGAGTATCGTTTCGGGTACCTGTTGAGATAACTCCTGGAGTTACATACATTGCAAGTGCCTGTTTGAAGGTTAGCATTGGAATGTTTGAAAATGTTCAGAAATATTTAAATAGTTCGTTATCCAGTCAAAATTAACGGGGGACGAGCAGTTTGATTGGTCAGGATCAGTGACTCCGCTGCACTAGCTTTTTTCACTGGCTTGCTACAGCCCGTTTCATCCGAAGTGATGAAAAATGTAACTGATTAGCTGTCGATCGATGTATATCCCGCTTTTGTCACTGACGAATAGGAGCACCTTTCAGGTGCCACACATACAATCTGTAAAAGCTCGGAACGAAAAAAATTGCAACTGATGGCTGGCTGGTTCTAGAAAGCANATCAGTGACTCCGCTGCACTAGCTTTTTTCACTGGCTTGCTACAGCCCGTTTCATCCGAAGTGATGAAAAATGTAACTGATTAGCTGTCGATCGATGTATATCCCGCTTTTGTCACACTTAGATGATGGGTGACGAATAGGAGCAGCTTTCAGGTGCCACACATACAATCTGTAAAAGCTCGGAACGAAAAAAATTGCAACTGATGGCTGGCTGGTTCTAGAAAGCACTGAGAAAACCAATCACCGCCTTCGTTGTATGCCTATTTGATCAGGGATTCCATGGAGGTGGTCGACTTCGACCAGCTGCGCCACACTCAAAATTGCGGAAGGATAGGCTTTGCAAAATTACGCCGAACCCCCTCTAGTCGCTTCCTACTTTTGCAAGTTGCGACTCTAAGGTGTTTTCCTTGAAAATCAACACAAGGGCTACACTGCTCTGATCTCCTGTCTTCTGGAAAAATTCTAATTGAAGGGTTTTCAGAGGAAAATTTCATGATAATGACGATATTTGACAGGGTATGGATTCGCACTATGGTACTAAAGGACTACGACGAATCGTGCATCAGTCAGCTGCTGGAGGAGTGGTAACATTCCAGTTTACTTACGCTGCTGGCAACAACAACGGAACAAGTGTCGAAGACGGACAAATACCAGAAATTATCTTCTATACTAGTAGTAGTTGAGATGAGCATATGAATAGCGAGTGATTTCCGTAGTTCCTGAGCAATTAAGGATGGCGTTGGCTTCACTTTCTCTGTCGTTGCTGTATACACGCTGGGATTTGAGCGTTTCCGAAAAAAGTAGAACCAAATCCGATCGTTCCTGCTTCATGTGATAAGTAGGCTCTAAGTTGAGATTTCGTGCTCGGTTCCACAAGTCATGCAGTTTACCAGTAACTTTTGTTGTAAGTATATTCCTCGATTATTGAGATTTGCTGTTCTCAATACTTCTATTCTGTGAACCGTAGAGCACATTTCTGGCGTTTCAACTGGTCAAATTTTTATTTCTAGAGGTCCTGTTAATAAAGCTTAAGCTTCGGAATACTGTATCCTATTGTCGTCGGTGAGTGTCGCTCTTGACACACACACAAACACATGGTCACGGGTTCGAATCCTGGTTTGGGTTAATTGGTACCAGACTCGTCTGGGAGGATAAAAGCACTGACTTGTGCATTGGCTGGTCACCGCAATTCATTGTATAGGCCATATACACATTCAATACACCACTACGATTCTGAAAGGAAGTCGAATTAGGGGCGCGTCCCTCGGAAGGGGTTGCTTAACGCCCCAAGACTATCCTTTCTCCTTTTCCAAAAGCTATAAATGATGCCAAAGCGAATTCTGAAGGAATCTGACTAGATTTATTAAAGTGAATATACAAATAACATCATTACAACAATAATGTTTGATTTGAGAAAAAAAAANAAAAAAAAACTTCACACAACCACTGATTTTTTCAGAAGAAAACTAATGAAAATGAGATTGCACATCAAAATAAAATTTATAAATCTTCCAGTAATATTTTAAAGAAAGTGAATGTACCTCGTGAGGAAATGTCAACATTATACCAACATATTGGAAATGTACGGATAATGAAGATGAATGAAAGACGCGGAGGAATTAAGAAGATCATTGGCGGAAAAAAGAGGGTTTTGGGAGTTACTATGTTAACTTTCATTTCTATTTATAATAATGAAATATATAGTAGAAATGGCACTACTGGTTCATCTACAAAGAGAAAGTGGGTGGTTGAGGGAACCTCATGGGGAACCTTATCAAGTGAAAGTATAAAATTGTTGATTTTTGTTTCCCTCTTTCTGTTTTTTGGAAATGCCGTTTCTAGAAGTGGAGCGAATACAGACCCAGTAAACTCGATAAGCATGCATGTACTAAGATTGGACCAAAGGCAGCTTTTGAGCTTTTTGAAGGTGCCAGTTAAGTGTAAAGGGTGTTTTCTAAGAGAGACGTTACTGCTGGAGGAGGAATTCGGAGATGTACCCTTAGCGGACAGCTTTTCAAAATTCTCGTACTAGTCTGAAAAACATGGCACTAGGTCATGGGGAATGTTTCTGCCAAAAGTTTCACAATTAAACCAGATTTCTCCCCCAATTTTCTGAAAGCCTTCATAGAAATATATAGAAGGACACTACCCAATGTATGCGCATGACTTATTGGGGGTTTTAAGGCCAGTCTTGATTTTCGGCCTTCAATAGTTGGAATAGGCTGTGCACAAAACCGCCCAGAATGTTTCTAATGGATTTCAGCAGCAAAAGGATTTGAACACGGTAGACAGTTTGGCAATCAAATGGTTGAATAAGAAAGGAAGAAGTGGCCGAGTCTGTTACGTCTACACGCATGGGTAGTGTCCTTACATAGGAACCTCTTGGAAGATTCCAAACAATTTCCACGAGAGATCTAGACAATGCAAATTTTTCGGCAAACTTTCCCCACATCCTAATGGCTGCCTTAACTCCGCCCTCTAACAGACGTTCACGGGTCCAACTATATCTGTGATACTTGAATTACGTAAATAGCACAAATAGGAAACAACTAACATTTTTTTGAAAATTTAATCTATCTATAGGGATCTACTCGGTACCTACGTACCCATTTTTGAGGAGAAGCCCTTGAACTTTGCGCCTAAAACTGTTTTCAACTCCAGAGTGAGGCACGATGTATCACGTTGTTCAGAAGCCTAAAGAAGCCTTCTTAAAATACAATAATATTACTATGAGGACCTAAGAGGATGAGTCGTCATCAGACCCATACACCCCTTTGAAAATCCATGAGACCACCTTGAAGCGGAGCGGTTAAATCAGTACAGTACTTCGAAACTGAGAAATCAGCACTGATTGAGTTCCGCACACCACAACGCCTCGATCACTTGCTGATCGACAAATTTAGCCAACTCGGCTATTTTCTTGTCGGCCAACTGGTAGCAGTGATCCAAGTACCGTCCTTTTGGCAGTTTTGCGCAGGCTGTCGTTGCGAATGAGCTGATGTCAGTCTGAATGGCTCAGCTTGAACAATAGCAAGACATATTGCAGGTTTTTGGAATCAGCCTATCAATTGATTTATTCTATCAATAATAACCTTTGCAGTTACCGCGTAATTCTTCGCATTCTCCAGCATTCGTTCACAGAACGCACATGTAATTCTCTTCTCCTCCTGAAAAAAATTCATCTATGGCCGTTCTATAGACGTTGACTTACAGAAACATGAG